AGTTGGTTGTTCTTCAGCTGTGATTACCAGAAAACCAGACATTCCTTGAGCTTCTTAGTAGTTAATTATAGAAGTTGGCAGCTGTAAATAAAAGCTCAAATAGATACACTGTGAGGGGAAGGCTCTGCAGAGTGGGTGGAGTGGCTGGAGGCTTGGGTCCAAGACCCACGGATTCCGGTCCCTGCTCTGTTGGCAGCTGTCACTCTACGTGCAGCTCCTGAGACGCTGGAGACAAGCTGGTGCTTTGCTGAGGAAACCTCTAGCAGACACAGCTGCCTGGTACCTCTCAAGAGTGACCCAGACATCCTACCCTTTCTTCGTCTTGGCCTGACAGCTCTGTGCCAGTCAGGAGGACTGGGAAGAAATGCAACCAGGGGCCCAACCAGTTGGGAGCTGAAGAAAGGAAAAAAACTCTACCCTGAAAAGGCTGTAAGTTTGAGGAAACCAAATGCCAGACACACACGCTGGTGACTCAACAATTTCTTGAAAAGGAGAGAAGCCTGGAAAGCTGGGAGAGGGGGCCAAACTGCCCAGCCACCTTCCCTGTGTCGCCAGCAATGGTGATCCTGACACTGAAAAGCCGAGACACAACACTGCCTGGACAGACCACACAACCCTTCCCTGGGAACCTGGACGTCACAGAGCGTGATGCGCGGGACCCTTGACAGTCCATTTAACAGAGGTGCGAGAGAGGCTGTGAGTTTAGCTCAGGACGTTCCCACCCTAAAGAGGGGAAAACCTTACAACTGAGGGCGGAGTCCACCTGCCTACCTTTCCTCTGCCAGGAGCAGCTCAATGAGGCCAGCTCACATCATCACACCAGGCCTACTTGGCAAATTGGAGCCAAAAGCTGCTCCCAGTTTTACTCAGAAGCAAACACCGGCCTCGGACAGGAGCCCCAGGGCTTGGGACAGAGCTCTGGGGTGAGATGAGCAGCCAGACCCCAGGGTTCATATGCCTCCGGGACCTGAGTGGAAAGCTCAAGTCACTTCCAAAGGCTTCCTGGACGGCAGCCGCCTACCAACATGGCTGGCACTCCTGCCAGGACTGCTCCTCAGGAAGTGGCTGAAGGGGTGAGAGGCCAGTGGGCATTCTCTGCCTCTGCCTCTCTGAGCCAGGGCGGCTCAGGAAATGGCCTGCTGTGGCTTCTGCTGCTGCAATAGAAGACGACCAAGAGAAATGGAAAAAGCAGCCTACCCACAGAGATGCTACTGTCCCCAAAGCAAAGGAAACCTACCAGGCTCAGGGTGGCTGGATGATGGGGAACCTCCAACACCCAAAACCTCCACCCTCTCGGCTGGGTTCCCCCGGGATCCTGGGACTGCAGAGCCAGGAAGAGTCCCCCCAAAACTGAACCACTTCCCAACACGTCTCTGCTTCATCTACTACTTCTTCTTCTTCTTCTTTTTTTTTTAGAGATTTATTATTTATTTATTTTATTTTATTTAGTTTTGGCTGCTTTGGGTCTTAGTTGTGGCACGCGGGATCTTTCGTTGCGGCGTGGGCTTCTCTCTAGTTGTGACGTGAGGGTTTTCTCTTCTCTAGTTGTGGCGCGCAGGCTCTCTAGTTGAGGCGTGCAACCTCAGTAGTTGTGGCGTGCAGGCTCAGTTGCCCCACGGCATGTGGGATCTTAGTTCCCTGACCAGGGATCGAACCTGCGTCCTCTGCATTGTAAGGCGGATTCTTTACCACTGGACCACCAGGGAAGTCCCTGCTTCATCTACTTCTTAATTCTACCATCAAAGGGTCTTGGACTTGAACCCAGCAATCAGACCTTTAGAACTCCGTGGCTAGAAGCCTGCTACCTTTCAGTGGCAAGGATCCTCCAGTCAGGACTGTCCCAGGAGGAAGCCGGGATCACAGAGCCATTAGCAACCTCTTCAGCAAGTGACAGCACGGAGGCTGCTGGCCTCTTCCAGCTCCCAGTCCTGGTCAGCACAGGCCAGGATGATGGTCACTTTTTCCAGAGGCAGCAGAGAAACTCCTAAAAACCACAAGCTGGAAGCACATAAGGCTTCAGCAGAGAAGCCAGAGTTCTGACCTTCATGACACTGAGTAAGAAGAGGAGACAGGATAGCATCATTTGCAGGAAAGAACCAGAGATTCTGAGAACAAAAGTTGGTATCTTCCTCCTTAATTTTCCCAGAAAAGGAGGTTTTTGCCTAAACATGTGTGAGGCTTGATAAAATACAAGAGATAGGAATATTAACAGCTATCTAATGTTAACCTACAAAAGTGTTTCCAACCTTGGCATTCCAAGTGGGCCGGCTCATCCTAATTAGACCCCTGGGGGCAAAGGCAAGTGACTTAGAGCGCACATTTGGACAAAGGCCAGGGCCAACTCAGGTTCATCGTCTGTACAGGCCAGTAGGATGCAATTCCTTAAAAAAGATTTCTTCGATCTAAAACCAGCTGTTGTCTGTTGTAGGCCAGAACATGACATTTTAATTAGCATTATTGTTCCACTTCTAAAACCAGGCCCTATGGCATCCCAAGGACAGATGATCCCCGCACAGGCTTATAGGTGAGGCTTGCTGGTGAGCAGTTCAGAAATTCACCAACACAGGGGTTGAGTCCCTAGTCTCTGAATCCATGAATCACGATCACTTCCTATATTCCTGTCCTGAATTTCTGAATTTCTGCTGGTGACCTGCACCCCCTGTCTGTTCCTAGGAATGGAAGCTTTGAGGTTTGCTTCCAGTGCCTAGGATGCAATACTCATTCTATAATAAAAATTCTTTTCTGCTCTGTTGCAAGATCTAGCCCCCAATATTTCTGGGGGTAGTAAGGTACCTGAAATAGAGTTTTTTTTTTTTTTTTTTTTTGAAATAGAGTTTTAATGCCCTTAGAAGTCCAATAACTCCTAAGAAGGTGTAAAAGGCCCACTAACTCAGTCCCCTGGGGCTCCCAATGACTTCAGATTGAAGCATTTCTCTTCCATAATCAAAGGGCAAATAAAGAGGGAGGGAAGGAGGGAAGGAGGGAGGGAGGGAGGGAGGATTAATTTACCCTTTGAGAGGGAGAACTGGATTAGAAACCAGCCACTAAGGTAGTGCAGTCGGTGGTGTGAAAAGAGCAGAGTGCTATACATTGAGGGTGAGATAACACATATGCAATGTCAGCACAGTTCTTGGCTTTTAGCTGGGATTTAAATGTGAGGCCCTCCTCCCCTTCCACCTGCCCCAAATCTTGGAAAACAAGCTAGAGAACCCCTAGAAAGGTCAGAGGCACTCACTGTGTCAGCTACCAGTATCTGGGTGTACAAGAGAAAACCCTTCCTCTTGGTTTCTATCATACCAGCCCCAGTACTACGAATAGGAGGCCAAAATGCCTTCCCATATCCCCTGCTGACGAGTATCTAATTATTCAGATCATTAGTATTGATTAAGCACCTGTGTTTGCAGCTGCACTACACGAATAAATCACAACTCCAGTGTTTGCATCTGCAAAATGAATGACCTGGAGATGCTATCTCATCCCTTCCACCTATAACAGTCCGTGATTCTACCACTCCTTAATATGAAAGATGAGACTCTCAAGATTTCCACTCTCAACGTTGCTACTTCTGAAAGTTTTCTTTGGCCTCTCAAAGTCTATGAGAACACATTTGAAGTGACTCGTTAAAAGCTGCAAGTTTGAAAACTACAGCAGGAGAACAGCTCACCTTCATGTCACTCGACATAACAATGCGTGGTGGTTTAGTGACTTGGACTGGCACACAACTAGGTTTCAGTAATTATACCCATATTCCAAGCAAATTATTATGTATTTTGTGTTCTGGGGACATATGTTATGGCTAAAGCCCAAACTGTGGCTAATTTTAATATTAGAGCCAGATAAATCTGTTTCGAATCCATAACATCTAACATGTGCCAGGGTAGATTTGTTCATCAACTGGGCTTAAAGAGGTATAATTCACACATGTGCAGTATTACTAAATGCTGAAATGTAATGATTTAAATACACCAGCAACTATTGCAAAACAGTTGTTATAGCAGCATTTAACACTAGCCAGAACCTCTCTGGCTAATGTTAGGTTTATACCAAAAGAATGAGGGAAATTTTGGCATCCCCTTGGGGTGAGGGTCACAACTGCCTCAACTTTTACAACATGGTACCAGCAGAGCGACTCAGTGTATGGCTATGAGAGGCCTTCTGTTTTTCCTGGAGAATATCTAGATCTAATCAGGAAGCATACAGATTCCTTTGGAGGTTTGGGGACACATCTTCTCTAAGAGTGTTTGTAGTCTGGGGCTCTTCCTCTGCTGGATGTACATGGCACCGGATACTCCTCCTGGCTACGTATCTTCCCAGACATGAGGAGAAGACTAGAGTTGAGGCCAGAAGATAGAGTTAAATACACACAAAAAGAAAGAGAATTCCATAACCAATATTTAACACATAGTATGAAATGGAATAAAAAATATTTTTAATCATATCAAAAAGCCAAACCAAAGAGAGAGAGTTCATGGAACTTATAGGTCCCATCTCGGCAGCCGGTGCTCTTCTCTGGATGAGGCCAGTGCCCCATTGTCCCAAGGCATCAAATGCCACTAAGATGTTTGGATTTTGCACCAAATTTTGGGCATGGCTTTTCCTCTGAAGAACTCACTGACCTGAAATAACGAAAAGTGAGAAACAGGTAGCTCTTACCTGATTCCCCAAATCTGAAATGGGCTGGAGGTTTCTCAGCTGTCTTACAGCCAGTGAAGTTTCCTCTTAGACCTTGTATTGAGCTACAAACAAAGGACGCCTGAGCTGGCCTTACCCCTGGAGCCTGCCCAAGGCTTCCATCTGGAGTTTTCAGAGAGAACCCATCGAGAGCATCAGAGGATGCACGAGGTACTCAGATGTCCTCCCTGGGCTCTTGCTCTCGGGTAAGCAGGCTGGGCAGGGATGTGCCAATCTCCCACTCTGAAATCTGGGCATCAGAGTGCTGGCGGGACGTGTTCTCTTCCTCCGCCCGGGATTAGTGTTCAGACCTCCACCAGCAGCACATTTCATAAGCTGCCGATGTTGGGGAAGCTCTTCAGTTTCTCAGGAAAGTCGTCCTTGTACAGGACAGGGTCGGCTCGGTGCTCCACCACCTTAAGAGGCATTGTCCCAAAGACAGAAGCAAACTTGTTGATGCACTCAGACCTGTGGGGTTTGGGGAGGGCAGTGGAGCAGATGAGAGGGACAGGGGGTGGGGAAAAGAGAAACCGTTCGAGAGGCTGAGAGGTGAGAGCAAAATATCAATACATAGTCTTCAACATCTACAAGAGAAATGCAAGGATCCCCAGCATGCTCCCAGGTTCTTAGCATGGCTGGGAGGGTGTGGAGAAAGGAAGTGATCTGGGGGTACTTCAACTCTTAGTTCGGTGGGAGAAAGGGAACCAGGGATGCTGTTTGGAGGCCAGGGGCCTGCAGAGGTCAGAATATCTTTTCCCCTCCCCCTCAAATTCCAGTCATTCTTCCAGCTCCGTATAGAAGCGGGCCTCAGACCAAGGTGGATTAGCTGCCAACAATCCTTAACCCCATCCCTGCCAGCTAAGGAGAAGACAAAGGGTGGAAAGGCAAAAGGCACTTGGATCTGAGCTTCAGCCCACTCAAGTTTAAAAGGGAGAAGGGAAGATCTTACACATGGAGCGATGGAAGGCAGAAGGAGGCCATGGGGCACTGAACCTCAATTTCAAAGGACAAACACTTCAGTCAGTGAACCCACATCTACTGCGGGCCTGTGAGTGGCAATCTCTGGGAATTGTGGGTCAACTTCCATAAGCTCTTCCATGAAAGCTGAAGTTCACACAGGACAGCTTTCACGGTTTTAGCCACTGCTGTGTTAGAACCGGCAGCAACAAAGCAACAAGCAACTTAGCACTGCTGGGGGAGGAGGCAGTTCAGCACACACACCCCGCCCCGCCAACACCGCCCCCAGCCTGGTGAGCAGCCTCCTCAGAGGGGAGCAGGTCAGACACGCTGGCGGAAAGTGGTTCTGGTCAATCAGGCCAACTGAGTGTGACAGCTGGCTAATGAGGACACTTCAGCATCAGACCCAAGGGGGAAAACAAGCCCGTAAAAACCACTTTCGAAGCTAAGGGGCCCTCAAGGATGGATTCAGAGAGGTCAGTATTCTCTCTCCTCAGTCAGGCCCACGGGCACCTGAGAACGGGTTACCAGGTAGGGGCTGAATTTCAAGACACAGACCAGAAGGCTCTTCTGTCCTCAGAGATACTGTAAACCTTGTTTCAACTTATTTTAATCAGTAGCTTTTACTTGAGTCCTTTGAGCTTTAGCAAGAAACCAATAAAGAAAGAAGCCAGTTACTATCAATTCTTTTCTCTTGCTTATTCTCTTGATCAAAACGTGTTACTATTTTATTTTGAGCTCTTCCAGCTAATAAGATCACTGTGTCCATGACCACAAATCAACAGCAATTAACATTTATTCTATGCTCCAGGCTGTGTTACAAGTGCTTGACATGTATTAGTAACTCACTTCACCCTCACAACAACCCTGTGAGGCAGGTCTACTATCCTTCCCACTGTACACTGGGAAGACAGAGACACATCACAGAGAGGCCGAGAGACAGGACCAAAGGCCAAATAACTAGTAAGAGGCAGAACCAAACCCAGGCATTCTGGCTGCTGAGGCTAAAGTCTTCATTATGTGATGATACACATTTGTTTATTAACATAATTCTAGGGTCTAAAGGGAGGAGCTGGAAATTAACAACCGTTGAGCACCTATGACGTGCCAGCTAACTTACATACATGATCCCAATGATTCCTTTAAATATCCCCGTCCGTATGCCCAAGGACTGGTGTATAGCAGCTTCCTGTTATGGTTTGAGAAATTCAGGCTAAGAGAGGCTATGGGACTGCCCAAGGACCCCGAGCTGGAAAGTGGTGGAGCTGGGTTTCAAACCCAGTCTTGCGCTGGCAATAGAGCCCTTGCTCTTTCTATCAGACTCTACAATAACCCACAGGTCACTGAGTTTCCCTCCTGTTGGCAGTCTTTTGAGACTCAGGAGGTCGTAGTCCCAGGTACCAAATTGACAGGAGACTGGAGAAAAGACCGAGGGGTTTTAACAAAATGGTATGAAGCAAGCACTGGACAACAGCTTTTCTCTCCTTAAATCATGAGGTCGAGGCAGTGGCAGACTAAGTCAAATTTCCCCAAGGTCTTACTTTTGACAGTTGTTCTGCCTATAAACGTGTACCGATTCTTCTAGTGTCCAGTTATTCTGCCTGTAGACGCTGGCCAGCAAAGCCCAGCCGTGCCCAGCAGAGGTGCCAGCGAGCATGTATTAAAGAAGAATCATGGTTCTTGGCAGAGGACAGGGGCTCTAGGGCCCCCTGGAGAGCACTGAGGACACTGTCTCCTCTGTAACTAACTAGACCTGCCAACAGGGCCGGGCCACAGGCAAGAGGCCACTGGGGCTCAGGCCAGCTTGACTTGTTGACAGCTGCCCCGGCTAACCCAGGTTAGTGAGTCCTTCTTTCTCTCCACACAGCCTGCCCTGGAGAAGTGGCTGCTCATGCTGAATGGTAAAGGTCCTTAACTCTCCGGACAGGTGTTGACTGTGTTTCCTACTTTCTTTTCATGCAGGGGATCTGGGCTGGGCAACAGGTTAGGGTAGATTAAGAGTTTGGCTGATTGCTGGTGGCCCACCTGAGTTGTTCTGTCGGGGGTCCAGCTACCATGTCAGTAACTGGTCCCCTGGGTTGGTTTTCTAATCAAGTACAGACAGGCTAAGAACTGCCAATGTCTATCTCCAAAGCGCTGCGAGTGTCTGGGGGAGAAAGGACTAACAGTTTTCAGTTTTCCTTTCAAACACATACAATTACCTAAAGTAACCAGGAGCCTTCAGGATCAGTGTCGGGGAAATTGGAAAGCGAACTAACCTCGCCAGGCCCCGTGCTACAGGCTTTCATGTATTATTACTCCTTTCATCTCCAGCATATAACACTCTGTTTGGTACAAAGAGGCTCAGTAAATATTTGTTGAACCCCTGAATGCAACATGATAGATAGTTAATATATCTATTTGAAGAAATGAAAAGGTTGGAAATTCAGGATAAGGTAACTCCATTTCCTTAAGTTGGAAAGCTAATAAGTGGCTAATTTATAATCTGAACGAAGACTGGCCTGAATCAAAATACAATGTTTGTTTCTTAAATCAACACCGTCTGTCTGCTGTTCTGTCTTGACCTGGGTAAAGCTATTGGCCAAAATGAACAGCCACAAGTTCTTCTGCTTCTTAAAGAACTAACGGCAGGTCCTGGAAAGGGATGCTGGGAAGTAAAAGCCACTCTCCTCCACTACTGAGATTTCTGACCCCAGACCTCAAATATAAGAATAAACTAGCTTTACTGAACCACAAATCTCAACACCAGGTCATAACACGCAGAGTGGTTAACTCCTTTCACTGTTTTGTGCAAAAATGTGGATTCTGCAAAGGCAACTATTCAAAAAATAAAACAAATGAACAGTTCTGCAGTTGTAACTCCATCTCTTGGTCTACCCAACAGGGCTTAAGTCACGTCTTCCCCCCTCCCAATCCGAGTGCCTTATTTAGCAATTCAGTCATTCATCCGAATAGTTTTGCTCTCAGTTTCTAATTAATTTCAAGACTGATCTCCTTCTGTTCCCTATCACATTTCTCAAGAGGGGAGCCTACATTCCCTGACTCTACCTCCTCACTACTGGCTCACACTCTTTAGCCCCATCAACCTACGACATCACTTTTTCCAAAGTCACCAATGGCCATTTTAATTCCAAGACCACTTCCTAGTCCGCATGTTCCTTGCTCCTCACTGCTGCCGAGCACTGGAGACGCTGGCTCTCTCCTGGCCTCGCCAGTGGCTGCTTCTCTCTTTTCAGTTACCCTTTCTGTCTCCTAAGTGTCCGAATTTCTCAAGATTCTGCCCTTGGCTTTTCTTCAATCAACTGCCATCTCTGGACAGATGTCTTCCAGATCTCCATCTTTGTTTTAATCTTTTTTCTGAAGTTCTAGTTCCATATTTCCAACTGCTTGCCCTGTATCTACACCTGTATATACAGAGGGCAAGACCCCAAACTCACCCGCCTGATTGCTCTCCAACTTCACACACGATTAAATCTCCTGGCCTCATTAATTATACTGTTAGGTCCAACATTCATCCCCTTCCCTCCGCTAACTGGTGTCCCTCCTAATTATATTATTTACACTGTTAAAGTTTCCACCATTCTTCCTGACTGTCCTGATCAACTGCTTCTCCATAACCTTCCTATAACTATTCAGTTGGAAATCAAGTGCCAGCTTTTCTCCTTTGGGGGGAAAAAAAATCCCTTTTGCAATTTAACTCACCCCTTCCTCTCCACACTCGACTTAGTTCAAGCCTTCTAACTGTTCTTCTTTCTTCTGTCTCCTCACCTTCATTCCGTTCTATGCACCACTTCCAAATCAGCCTCAAAACAACATTTTGATCAAGCTATTTCCTATTCAAAAACCTTCTATGGCTTATCAGAGCCTGGAGAAAAAAAGCTCAGCTCCTTATTTGGGCATCCAGGGCTCTCTGCAGTTTGGCACTAATGGGCCAGAATGCTACGCTCTTGCCAAACTGGATATCTCGACTGCTTGCCAAATGTACCTTGGACCATCCAGTTTCCCTGCCGAGGATCTCCTCTTCTTGCCCAGAGTTGCATCGGTTGGAATCCTAGTGACCTTTGAAGGCTCACTTCAAGGGCCACCTCTTACAAAATTATTCCTAATAACTGACCTAGCAAGAAGTCACTTCTCTTTCCTGCGATCGGGTATAACATTTTGAGCCTTCCTTATGACACTTACCACATATAGCTTTGGATTAAGTTTTACACACACACACACACACACACACACACACATTAAATATATATACACACCCGTGTGTGTACCTGTTATTGTTAATTATAAACTCTGATAAAATCGAGCCTACCAACATCTGGGCAGTTGCCTATTCTATTTTCAAAAGCCTCTTCCCATGAGGAAGCTTCCACATTTCCCATAGTTACTTTCTTCAGTGTTTAATAATAATTATATCTAACTTAAATCTTTCCCACTGCATTTGTCATGATCTCAGTGGTGTTACAGAGGAGTTGTTTAGCTTTAGCATGAACTTTAAGGGCCATTATTAGGTCAACTTTTCTCCATACAATTCCTTTCTTGGACCCTATAACCCCACCATTTTAACTCAGTCCAATCAATAACTAATTGCATAATGCTATGAAATTCTTCCCAACACAGAATGGGGGTAGGTTTAAGTAACAAGTTCATGTGCTCTAATAGAACTATAATTGGGGTCTCTTCCAAATGAGCTATGACAGTTGATGTCACTGTCCTTGACTGGGTAATACTTGATACCAGTGACAAGATATTTCCAAAATCACAACAATATGTTATTTCATATTGATGGTTGGTAAAAGTCACGTCATTTGGGTAAGACATTTATATATGAAAGAGATAAAGAGATTATTTAGAGAGTAAGGGTAAGAAGTAAGAGTAAGAAGGAGTAAAGCATTATAGAAGAATCCAGGCCAAGTGAAACAACTCACTGTACAAAAAAATCCTCCAGGCTCGAAGGACTTTGATATAGCTGATAGATTTCAGAAATGAATGCCGGAAGCAGATGCATATGAGACCTGTGGAAACTTGAACCAGATATCTCATTCTAATGTCTTTCTCATGACATTCTCTGAATGCATTCTGGTCCCTTGACAATAGTGTTACTGGCTGTCAGAGCTTGCTGTCTTGTGTAAGGGGCTGCCTTTTGGAAGAATTAGGTTTGATTCAGGAGATTCGAAGCTTGGGGACCTTTGGGATACAAGTGAGAACTATCAGGTCTACTCTAAGATTATAAAGGTCTTAAGGGAAGACAGACATCTCCCACTTCTTTTATACTCACCTACAAGGCCCTGTATTACATCCACACAAAGGTGTGCTTATTGACTGACTGAATCAATATAAAGGGAGTATTTCAGAGCTGCCCTGCTTCTCTCTCTGTAATGTAAAGAGCTGTGCTTTCAATTCTGTTCTTGGTAGGTGTTTCAGTTGTGTCAGCAAAGGTAATTTGTCTCTAGTGGGTTTAGTTTAATTCTTTCTAATCAAACTTTCACTGTAACATGGAGATATTACCCTGGAAAACAATCCAGTATTTCTTTGGAATTAACTCGCTTCCACACGAATGACTGTGGATAGTTAACTACCTAGTCCACACGGAGAATCTGGCTTCCAGAGCTTAAGGCCGGCTATATTTTTAAGACCCTTCCAACCATTACAAATTGAGTGAGTAGCATTCCAAATTAATTCTTTGGGTGACCTGGGCTTGAACTAACCCAATTCCCACGTGCAAAAGGAGGTGACTATGGCTACCAGCTGCTGTCCTTATATCGGCAACAAAGTCCCATAAACAGGCCCAAGACAGGAAATGGGGATCAGAGACTAGGGCAGACTTTTGGTTAGAGGCTCACTCACCTCTCCACCATGTGTGTCTGGTCTAGCGAAAGCCCATCGATGGCCGTGCACTCAGGACACTTGAATTTCTTTCGTGGTGTTACCTGCCAGAGGAGCACAAAAATATACTTGGCTGCCAGTGCCAAGGACAATAAAATCATGCTCGTGACACCACTCTCTGCACACTTCTGTTCTATAAGCTGAGATGCCCACTCCCACTGCAGGCACACATGCACACACACATGCCTCACTATTCCTCCATTCAGTTCTGTCTGGCTCGGCCAACAGCAGAACTCACAAGGGCCCAATAAAAAAGGCTTGGAGGGCTTTTGCCTTCTGTAACTGGAAAGAAGTGGTGATGACAAGCTCCTTAATTCCTGTTTAATGACTGTTTTCTCACTGCCAAGGTCCTTGTATAAACACCATTTGTTCTTGCAGCCATAAGGGCGATGAAATACAGCTTCCCATAACTTTCACCGTAACCTTAGTTCCAAAAGGCGCTCGTTCTCCTTCTTCCAGCTAATGGCAAATGCTATGAGCAGCACCATGCTCTTGAAAATGCCAGGTTATTTTGCAATCCCGTTGAGTCAGGGAAAAAAATCCAATGGTCCTTTGCCCTCTGAATCCTTTTCCCTGACTCTCCCCACCACCCTCCCATACGATAAACTTCTAATTATTTTTTAGCAAACTCAGGGGAGGCTGCTATCCTAACCTAGTGAAGATAAGTAACCAGTAGAGGAATGGGAGGGGAAGAAAGCTAGATAACTAAGACTAGGCTAAAAAGCATACAGACCCGAGGAATTACCATCCAGAGTAAGCAGGCACAGCTAAGTACATCTTGAAGCATGTCAAAAAGCAAATTTGGGGATTCCCTGGTGGCGCAGTGGTTGAGAGTCCGCCTGCCGATGCAGGGGACACGGGTTCGTGCCCCGGTCCGGGAGGATCCCACATG